TTTCTTTTTTTTTTCAGCATGGAATAAACCTATTACTTGTTCCTATATAATTTACAGAAAGTGTTAAAAAGTGCAGAATTTTATTTTGTGACTTCCTAATGTTTTTAATATTTGTTATTTAAAAGAAATATTTCTAATAGTATGTTAAATTCATATTGCAAAACAGTTAGTTAACTGAATACTATCAGATTGACTAAAACATTAATAGTCCGCTCTAGAATTTCAAGCCTAGTATGCTTCTTTTTTCTCTTTTATTAGCTCAGAGGATCATTGGTGGTCATGAACAAGGCCTGATGTCTGGTATCAAAGCTGGATATGGAACATGTTACTGCTACTCAGAGAACTGTTTCTGTGAGAAAAGTGATATTGAAGGTTAGTGACTGCTTGCCAAATCAATACAGTTGGAATCTTCCCATTGACAGTCATTAATGTATCCTACTCGTGACAAGTCCTATCCTAACTGCCACTGTTGTGTGCAGAAAGCTGAACAAATGCAACTCACTCTATCGTCAGCTGCAACTTCTCCTGAGAGGTGGAGTGTAAGAGTAATAAGATGTGGAAATACAGGTGTATTGCATCATTACATAATGCTTACAAAGCCCTAAAAATAATAGTAATAATGCAATGAAAAGGAAACCCTTAAAAAAAACTTTCCCCTGCTTGAAATCTTTATGTTCTTAAAAGTCAGTTTAATTGGAATATTTTCTCAGAATTACTGGACGTAAATGACTTCTAATTCAATCCTTATCACATGCATTACTTTTTGTATCTTACATTGTTAGATGCTTTATATATTATAGGTGCAAACTATCTTTTTGAACAAGAAACTGTTAAAAAGAAATGGCTCATAGAATCTCAAAGCCACACCCACTGCCTGCACTTAAAGTATAGATTAATAAGAGAAAAAGATGTGTGCTACTTGTTTCAAAACTGGGCAGCTCTTTCTATGTTGTGTCCACTTTACCTGAAACATATTTTCCTCTCTGAAGATGCTCAGATCTGAACATTTTCTGACGTACTTTTGTCTCTTTCAGAGGTCATGTGTGATGATGTCTGCAAGACCGTTATCGCCACTGCAGTCTTGCTCTCCTTTATTGTCTCTGTGCTGCTCTCCTCCTATTTCATTCACCGCTATCACAAGAACTCTCCCAAGCCACCAATAGCCTCTGCTGAGATGACATTCCGACGTCCTGCACAATCATACCCTATCAGTTACTCAGCCAACAATGTGCGCAGGCCCTCTGTCGATTCCATGGAGAACCAAGTGGCTGTGGACACATTTAAAATCCCTGTAAGTGTCTTGATCACATTTTTGCAAAAGCATTAGCAAAAGTTAACAAATTAAATAATTTTAGAGTTGCCTTACTAATTATCAGACAGAGTGCACACAATGACCATTGAGTGATAAACCTCATACAGTATATTGTAGGCAAGGAATCATTGATCACAGTAAATAAGGAATGCCACTGAGCAGAGTGCAGCTTCAGCTGGTGGTAAAAGTTCTAATTACAGATTGGAAACGGATGAGTCTTAAGGAGAAGGTGAACAGTGGTGATGGCCTGAGCTCTTCTAATTTTATTGAGCTATTCATTACACTAGGGATGAGAATGGGCCCTAGAGATGCTAAGCAAAGAGGAGAACAGGTATGATGCCATGGTATGAGAAAAACGAAGGTAGAGAAAAGGCAAGCAGCAGAATCTGAATGAGCTGAATAGCTGAATAGGCAAATAGCTCTGACTAGAGGCCAGCCAGAAGGAAGTTGCGATAGTCCAGGCGTGATAACACCAGGGTCTGAACTAGAGTTGTGTTAAGACAAGTTTGTGAGGAAGGGGTGGATCCTGCACGTAATGGTAAAGAAGAGCAATTCCCAGAATACTGGCTGGAGCAATCCAGAGCAGAAATGGGATGGTAGTAAGTGAGAGAGCATTTAAGAAAGACTCTGATGTTCTTGGCAGAGAAGATGGGAGAGAGGTTGGAGGAGTCAAGAGGAATAGGATAATAGAAGAGATGTAAACAGGAGGGAAGGAAGAGAATCAGAAAATAAGGAGTTCAGAGTTGTTAATTTGAGGTGATGAAAGTGCATCACAGAGGAGATGGCTACGAAAAAGAACTAAAGAGATAGTGCGCTTTTATTTACAGTGTGAGGCAAAATAATAAAACCCCCAGACCTCAATAACATTAAACAAAAAACTAAGCTGCTCTTTGAGCATCTAACTAGACTTCTTCATGACCCCTTCTTAAAACTCAGTTGAGAAGCCTGCTTAACAGCTTCGAATGCTACATATCTCTTCATGGCTGGCTGTAAAGAGAGTAGTGGTGGCACAGTTCAGAGAAAAAGTCAATACGTAGAAGATGAAATAGTGATTGGATTAGTTCCAGAGGGGCTCACAGAAAAGGAGGGTAAGAGCAGTCCTTGGAGAAGAAAAGATTGAACCAACAGTAGGCTTATGAGTAGGTGGGATGGTAAAAGACAGAAATCGAAGCAGGAGTGATTACAAATAGATAGGTGGATATTGAAGTCACCAAGCAAGATTGCTGAAATGCACAGAAAGATGAGGGAGGAAAAGAAAAGTCCAATTCATCAAAAAGTTAGTGAGAAGACCAAGAGAGCAGTAGAGAGCAATGAAGGTAGGAACATGCAATATTTGGAGTCAATAAACAGTCAGCCTAGAGCTTCTGAGCTGAAAGTAAGTAAACCTCACAATTGTATTCGGTGCCTAGTAAGCCACCCTTGAGATTCAGAGCTGCCAATTATAATTGATTGGCCAAATTTAAGGTTATTCATGAATTTTATAATCAATATATTTTAATTGCCATACAGTACATTGTTTCAGTGTTGTACAGTATGTAAGCATGCAAGTATGCAAGACTGTCACTTTGGAAAGGTTGATCTCCATTGTCTCTGTCTCACAAGGTTTGTGTAAAATATATTTAAACAATATGTGATAATCTAATATATATTCACAGGAGGATCCAAAATGGGAATTCCCACGAAAGAATCTGGTGTTGGGCAAAACCCTTGGAGAAGGGGAGTTTGGAAAGGTTGTCAAGGCAACAGCATTCCGGCTAAAAGGGAAGACAGGCTATACTACAGTCGCAGTGAAGATGCTGAAAGGTAGATTTTTGGGTAGTGATATACACAAACACATTCTGTATCACTTCTCTGAATAACACAAAGCTTATCATTAGCCAGTTACATTTTATGCATGCGGTGTTTAACTTTATTTTAAAGTGGCAAATTAATGCAGGTAATATTTTTTTTCAAGTTCATTGAAATGCCATTAATTGCTTAATGACATTACAAAAAATTAAACTTATTAGATATTGTGAAGCCATTTTTCAGATCGGTTCCTAATGTTTGGCATTCTGGTGTAGTGATTTAATTATGCCCAGAAACAATAAAGTAACTCAAAGTTTTAGTAGGAATTTAAAACAATTCATAACTTATCGTTTTAAGTACAGTGATGGCCAATGAGAATGGTTTACTCTTTCTTTAAATTAACTAAATAGTATCTACTGTACATCATCTTAATTCGTCATTTTAAGCCCTCCCTCTGAAGGCAAAGGGGAATGATCTACTTTTATACTGTACATAAATACTTCTGTGCATTATATACTGTAGTTTATTTTCAATTATATGGAAAGCAACTGAAATGTAGTGTTTTTGTAGCTGACAAAAATAAACTTTCATTTTTAACTTCTCAACTTGTCCTCTAATGACCAATTTAATTTAATTTACATTACCTCCTGTTTCCAATGTTACTGATTGTGTCACATTTCAATGTCTTTTTCTTTTATGTTAATAATGTCTTGATCTTCTAATATATTTAGAAGGCATGAAAGCAAAGTAAAATAAATTAAATGTGTGACAGAAGTTTTATTTTAATTTATATTAATGTTTAATGAGAT